GGAAGTGCTACTGGAGGTCGCAGTGGTTCAGGCAGAGGTCGCGGTGGTGGAGCTGGAGGTCATGGATTTCCTGTTGAGCTTGGTGGATTTGGTGACTTGGGAGGAATTGGAGGTCCCATTGGTGATGACATTGGTCAGTTTGGTGGTGGCTCTGGTCTTGATAGTGGCGGATTGGGCAGAGGTGAGTATCATAACCATTTGAAGTAAAATAGGTTTTTGATTTTATGATTTAAGTTGACCAGGGGAGAGGAGAAGGATTCTAAATTGGAACTAAAGATTTTGAAGAGGGAATTTGCCATCAGAAGATTTCAGAAGTCTTTTAACATATTCCCATGTTCTGATATTTAGTTTTGACCTCCCCCTCGTTACTTCTGTTCAATCTACTTTTAAGGATTTGGGCAGGGTGCTCCACCCAGAAGTGGGGCTGGGTTTGGCTCTGGCCTTGGAAGGGGGCCTGACATGGATGAAGGCTTTGGAGACCCCTTGGGCCCAAGGGGTCGTGGACGTAGCTTTGACCCGTACGAAGATACTGCTGATCTAGGAGGAGGCTATGACCTTCCCCCGCCCTCAAGGCGAGAGGAAATTGAAACCATCAAGAGGTAAGTTGTGAAGTTTTCAAACCTTTTTCTTTTAGTAAATTCTACAGTGAGTCCAGGTTTGTGTTGGATGCCTTTCTCAAAACTCATTCTCACTTCCAGTGAGATCCTGGACTCGTTGACCCGAGACTCGGTTGTCAGCGATGCCTTCATCTTGAGGGAGTTTGAGCGTCGCTTTGGTTCCACCAAGAGGCAGCCACGCAGTGACGTCTACGATGATCATGACCGTGACCGCGACCGTGACTTGTTGCCGCCCCCAATTCACGAGCCACTCAGCTACAGAGACAAGATCGTGAGTGACTACCACAGATTATTGTCTCGCAGTCCCATTTGTTTCATCAGTTTCCATAATACTTTGCTCATGTTGTTAAAAATGTAATGTTGCCCTAGCTCCAAAAACCCTTTGAATTAGAATGCGACACTACTGAAACGTGACTGTAATTGCGCAGTGCCAAGTCCAATATTGCACTTTGTTGCACTTAATCTTGGTCTTGTTTTACCCTTGTTGGATTTTGCTGCATGTAAGATTTTATCTGCAAGAATCCGGACATAGCTGTGGGTTAAAGCCTAGTTGCAGCTACTGACAAAGCTTACATGCGAAAGAAAAGGTCTACAACTGTAGCTTATGTGACGTTTTATCTTCATCAGTACAAAGGCCATGCATTTGTACTGAGAAGTATTTTTAATGGAGTTACTTATATTGTTATGGATGCATGCTCGGAACAAAAAAGAGTGTTCCGACAACTTTCATCCAGTCGTAAGTTGCATGAAACCTGTCCTTTAAACGTTAATGTGAAACCCAATGCGATCACATATTGGGAGGTGTGTATGTGACTGCAGTTAATTTATTCAGATCCCTATCAGACTGTGTTCAGACATTGCTGTGCTTTGACGCAGATCAAAGCACACATCAGGTGTTTGAAGATCGATGTGTAATTTTGTCACGCTCCGAGTGACAGTATTCAAAACATTGGATGTTTTGAGAAAATAAAAGTTACGGTGCACCATCTACAATGGATTGCACTGTACCGTTCCAAATACTATATTTTCACGTCTGTAGCAAATGTGAAATGTTTATACAATGTAGCCTTGAAACATCAATTGTTGTTTCAAAATACCGGTAAAACTACAATGGTAGCATTGAGATTTTACGTTTGAATGAATTTTCAATGAATTGATTCAATGTAAATGAAAGCTAACATTTTCAAGAGTAACATATTTGTTTACTCCTGAGAAAATCTTGAAGCTTTGGGGATACGATCGGAGTTCGTAATACAAAATATTTTGGATCAAGTTCCGGCGCGTTTCATCAAATTGTCATCTACTTCCAGCCTATGACTGTCAGTCACATGATTGAACTCTAGTCAAAAAAATTTTTATATTGTCAGCATAGTGAATTATCTGTTTAATGTTTATCACTGATTTTTCTGACGTGCTTGGAAACTGACAAGCACAAGGCTGCTGGTAACCGATGGTGTTACCTGACACATACATGGAGTCTCTGAAGTGGAAGTTCAGTCTTGTTCAGCATTTACTTGGAGGAAATCTCAAGTCAAAGTTTAACTTTGGCTGAGAAAAATCACATTTATTTAGAGGGATTCAGGAAACCTGATCACAATTTGTCCTGCTGCCGTCCCCAGCCCAGCCCAGCCGTTGCCTGTGGCAACTGCTGAAGAACAATACTCGACATTGTTCTTGATGTCCATACGCTGAACTTGTATTTAGGTTCCCTGGATTTGGATGAAACTAGGAATGGAAAAGGTGAGAATCCCTTCTCTACAGACATATATGTCTGCAGTTTTTGTATTAAATGAAACTTTGGTGTTAGAAAAAATACAAGAGTAGAATTTACTGTTTAGATCGCTTCCTGAGTAGCATGACTTAAAATTAACAACTGAATTGTGTACTATAGCACACGCCAGACACAAATATAAAGTAATGTACATTTGTTCTAATTATCAATATTTGAGAATTAATTTCACAGTTATTGAATCACCTTGTCTTGGAAATTGAATTGACTTCATTTCTGCATGATTTCCTGCATTCTGGAAGAGTTTGTAAGAATGGAGATATTAAGCACACCCTTGTCTCTTTTAGTTTTTTTTTCTTCTGAAATAATCTGTAAGCAGTAGCTACGAAATAATATTTCTAACAAATTAATTCCTCGTTGTTTTTTACAAATTCATTGAAGCCGGAAACGATTGAACAAGGTGGGATAAAGAGACTTGAGAGTCGTCAAGATAACCACTCAAACAATCAGGTACTGCAGAATTCAAGTTTGTTGGGCAAGAAAGATAAGGGTCTGTATGCCATACTTTTATTCAGATATCGGCTCAAAGTTCATTCTGAGTACTTTTATACAGGAACCAATGGACATTCTGGGAGAATGTTCGAAGCAAACAATAAATGAAAACTACCATTCTCTGCAAAGTTTATCTCAGATTTTATCCCACATCTACCTGAGTTTTCTTGCTATAGTGTTCTCAAGACAAAATTAAAATAAACTACCTTATATTTTTGGCTGTTTAGCATTAACCGGAGAGATTGTTTTAGGGGTAGGGATGAGGTGATGTAGAAGCAGTGAAGATAAGATATTTAATGAAATACATGTACAAAGAGTTTTAGTGTTGACAATTTTTCGGTTTATTTTGGTTGTTGGGCAGAATGTCACTAGCTTTGGAGGTGGAAACAACTACAGTGCTCAACCAGGGTCGAGTAGCTCTATGTATCCGATGACCTATGACCCCATGGTAGGTCAAATGTCATGAACCTTGTAGACTAGAAGATGAACTGATGTCAGGCTTGCATATGTATGTGTGTGCTAAATGTATCTGATCACAAGAGAGTAACAACTTGCCAAAGTACTCCTCGGGTTTGATGGGACAGTCTGTGTGTTTGTCATTTGTGTGTTATGTTCCTTTGAGGCCACAAAATCACTCAAAATCTAAAAGGGTTTGCCTAAGAACAAACCTGATAGTTTCAGCTCGGTGGATACAGAATTTACCGAGAAAAATAACATTAATAATATTACTTTTGGAAAACTGCAGATGGTGGACTGTACTTTTAAGGATATGTGAGAAATGCAATTGAGTGTGGTGCCAATCCTGCGGTAGCCTTTCATGAAATTACTCTTCCTCGGGGTACCTGAGCATTATTCGAGCTGAAAATGTCTGTTCAAGTGTCATTGTTGGTCGGTTTTGGAAAGCCTCCAGGGGCGTAGCGAAGGTATTTTCTTTGGGGGGGGGTGCTTGGGTCAATTTGCCAACTTGTAACTTGTTTGCCTACCTGATGGTGTGGAAAATTCATGAAGTACAGAAATTGTTAATCCATGGTGTGCTACATTTCATGCTTCATAGGAAATGCCGATGGCCAACATATATCGTTTATGTACCAATTTTGGATTCAATTGCCGACCGAAGCTCTATTTGCTTATTGGAATTAATAATTTGGGGCATATACCCCCCCTCCATTGCTTAGCCCCTGAAAGTCCGTATTTGATTCTTGGCTCTGTTCATGTGATAATCTACGCTCCTCTTTGACAAAACAATCCTGATTGGTCATTGTATTTGCTGCCTTTGTCTAGCCACGGTCTACCTTCAATACCGAATCAAAAATCACGGTCAGCCTAGAGGAGCTTGGGCGTTTGAATCCGACCCCCAAACCCTCCTCAGGCCTGAAGAGTTGCCTCAAGAAACCGCCTACATCAACAACATCAGTGTCATCATCGGCAAGCACGTCGACAGGATACACCACCAGCAGCAAACCCACTACAGCCCCCAGTGGAGGTGCAGCCGTACAAGAAATGTTTGCCAACTTGGTCAGTTTTAACTCCTGATTCGTTTTCATACTTGCTTGTAAGATGTACACCCAGTAAAGAACTGTCAGTCTACCGGTATAAAGTCAAGCTGGGTAAATGAACCCTGAATTATCTTGGATAAAGGTGCTGTGCTAATCTAATGATTTCTCCATCAGAAATAAATTTGTCTAACTTCAGGAAAGAAAGGAGTCCTTGCAGTGTACGAAAATTTACCTCCGCATTAACTGTCCCTTCAAAGCCCCAACAGCCGCCCCCCCAAAGAAATTTAGAGGGAGCCAACTATGATCGGGAAGACGACCTGAGACATGTAAAGAAAGGCAGAATTACACAAAACTAGCAAGCAGTAGGATACCACCATACAGCCAAGTGTACTGACATAAGAATTTGAATTTCATCTCTCCGCTGTTAAAAAGGTACTCTTACGTCTCATCAAGTCTCCGGTAAAATGGTAAAAGGTTTTGCCATGGAGACAAAATTGGGCCAAGAATTAAGAATGATTCACCTTCAGATTGTATCCTGAGGTTTGTCTTGAAATTTCTTTCTCGTCCCATTTCCAGTCTCAGTCCATGATTACTAACGAAGCAGACGCCCATCTTGCCAAGCAAGTCACAGAAACACTGTCTCAAGCCTTGCAAATGTATGAATCTAAGCTAACGGGAGACGTGAGTATGTCCTTGCATGGCCTTTGAGTATTCGGAGCGTCCTGGGTTTATTCGGCGTTGTTGGAATCCAGGGTTTGTAACGTACAGATGTTCCGCTGAATTATTTCTATGCATCCTGTCAATGATATGTAAATACGACACCACAGCCCACCGATATGGCTTTTGGTAATAAGTTCAACAATGGCAAAAATATCAACCAAGTTGGTTCTACGTATCTTTTATTACTTATATTTCCCACCATTTCCATTGCTGGAAAAGGTGGTACATGTACCTGTAACTTTTCTTCCTACAAAGCCTAGTAGTTTTCCCTTGACATTTACAATATTCTGAACATGAACATTTATGACAGGTACATGTATATTGGCAGAGTCCCTGTGATATTTTGCAGTACGTTTTACCATCTTAAGTTTATTTTTAAATGAAGTTACATTATAGTCCACAAAATGTTTGAATAATTTATGCATCATTCTTTATTTCCTCATGAGACAATAAACTTCACCTCATCGTTGTTGTATTGATTGTCCTTGACTCATTTTATGTTCTCCTTTTTTTTCTGCCAAGCATGTAAAGGCAACATATAAAAGGTTACACCCCCTGCAGTCTACTTATCTCAAGCCCTGAGAACATTGTTCGTTTTATGACCTGCTGAGACCATCAGAATACAGGAAATGGTCAAACAAATAGTCCTTTGTTCACCATCTGGATCAGCGAAAACAACATAGTCTTCTGCTGGATTTTGTTGGACAGAAGAGCCAACATATAAAATGCCTTTACATGTACGCCGCATGTAAATGCACCATTGCTTTTTTAATACGTTGGGTCCATATTTCAGTGCGTCATAGGAGTACACAATAATGGTTGTGGAATTTTGTAGTAGTCACTGTTTGAGTTTGGCCGGTTGACACCAGTTGGGCTTTATATCAGAATGAGAAGACGTTGTACGGAGCGTACAGTGTCATGTTCACAGTGTATGATTTGTTTTTGTTGACGTCGGTCAACAAAGTATTAAAATGGCATTGTCTGGATTTGTCTCAATATCAGGACAAATGCATCTGACTGGAAAAGGCAACGACACTTCGGACAAAACTGGCCAAGTTTTGTCCAGAAAATGATTTTGTGTCACTGATACAGTTTGCTGTTCTTTTGCAAACAACCACGAAGGTCTGCGCATTGTTGTGTTCATTGCTCAGAATGTTGTATGCTGTTCATCAATGAACAGTGGATCCAGTAAGCCCCGCCCACTGTTCATGTAGGCGCTTAACACGTAATCTTCTCCAGTGCCACACTACATGTTTTTACATGTTTGTGCATGTCTGCATGTCAAACATAAATTGTGGCTGTAATTGATCTGAACACAGTGAGGTGGGGCTTAATGGATCAGTTAATTTATCAAGAGGAGACTGGCAACATTGAGTGTTCCCAAACGGAACCCTCAATCAATTATTTGGACAGTGATATTTCTTAGGGCAGCTAGCACCACCTCCGGGATGGGATGAGGCAGGTGGCACATCCGAGATGCAAAATTGAACCGATGATCTGCCAAGAGGAATCATTCAATCACCTCTATGCAAAATTCTTCAAAACCTTCATCTTACTCCCGGTTTCTTCTAAAAATTCTTGTTTCAGAGACCAGATCCTACGGGGAGCTACGGTGAGCCACTCAGGGGAAGATCCCTGCTTCCGCCACCCCCTCCAGGGCCGTTTGGATCCGGGCCGGGTTACTCCAGGATCTAATGAACCTGGGTTGAAATGGGTGCTCTGAATGCATTTCTGTGGAGTGTAATGGGTACAACTGGGTGCAGTTAATGGGAAATAGTATTGTCACACCACCTTCTCCAACCATGTTGGATTTAGGCCTGGCTACAGCAGTGTTGTTGAGACCTCTTAAAACCAACACAGTACCCCACAAGACTGTCACAGCACCTTGCAAGATCTCACAAGACCTCTCAAGACCATCACAGTACCCCAAAAGACCATCACTAAACCAACACAAGACCTCCAGGTTGAAATCAGGTCACAAGCTGTCCAAGTGAATTGTAACAAAAGTATTCCGTTGTCACTTTTCACCATTGCTTGTGACAGGTCATTTAACTTGTTATGTGATGTTTTCTCTTACAACATTGGGCTACAGCAGGGTCTGATGGTTCTGGGTGGAAGTCGGTGGTGTCCAAGTAATTTGATGCAGTGTTAATGGGTACAGCTGGGTACATTGTATATTGGGTTAAACATATGGGGGTGAAGTAAAGGCCAAATCACTTAGTCATAAAGTAAAATCTGTTTTGAAGAAAGACTGGTACATTTTTATCTAACATGAGCACCACCTGGAATGTTACGCGTACCTTGGTTTAATTTGATATGGGCATGAATAGGTGGACTAGGTACAGCTGCGTACACAGTGTACCCCTGGATGCACCTCAATGGGTAACATTGGGTACTTTGGTTTCAAGTTGGATTCTGAATACACATACATGTACACTCTACTGGGTAATTTTTGAACACTTTGATCAGACGCCTACACCTGTGTTTAAATTATTTTTTAAAATACTTTCTGTACTTGTTTTACCAAGCTGTCACAGATGTAGTGAGAAAATTGTCTTTTAATGTTCCTATCAGGTGATAAGACTCGCACATTTCTTGATTGTTTCCGTCAGACTTTCATTTTTTTTATGCCATGAACTTTTGTCGTCAGATTAACATTTGAGTGCCATCTTACTCCGACTTTCCGTTGTGAAATAAAAGAAAAGTGTTCTGGTGAAAGAATAAAGCAACAAAATTGAGTTGTAACATATACATACCTCTGACACATGTTGTTCAGTAACCAAAGGAAGTTGAAAAACATGAAATGGGTATCATTCTCATGAGAGCTTTACTTATATGTAGCATTTCCCCGGATTGGCCAATTATTCCTTCCTGATTTTCTTCCGACGTGCTGTTAGAAACTGCAACATTTACAGTATCTTGCATATTCATGCCTGGTATTTGCTGCATCAGAGTTAGTAACAACCGACTCATGTTGCCACGAGATGGGCCAAGCTTCAATTTGAAGAATCTACTCCTTGCAGTGGGTCGTGAGAAATTGAATTTCGAAGGGCAAGTTGGAGTGATGACTGTAGTTAACTGTCGTTCAACTAACACTGCCCAAATGATGAATGGTTTGGACTGTCAAGTCGATAATTTGGGACCAGGTTCCAGGGTACCTTCACACCTCTGGATATCAGCAACCCATTTCACGTATTGTTACAAGGGGAACCATTCAGATGAAAGTAACTGTACAGGATTTCAAAGGCTATGTACATGTATGCTGCAAGATTTGCAGCCAATGATGAAATGTGACTAATGATGAGATTTTTAAAGAGGACGACTGATGTCATTTAGGTGTAACTGAATTGTGCATGCGCATTGTTAAAAATCATCGGACTCCTGGTCGAACTAGAGCTCACGCTCCAACTTGCCCTAATTTGAAGGTGATGGGTTCAGGTTTTTTTCTGCAGGCCTTGTCTTTTGAGAAATAATTGAGATGAAAAGTGCACCAAAGTGACATGCCTGGGTAAATGGTGGCATAGTCTGTATGTAAAAATTGTAAGCTGGGGACACATGCACCTGTCACTTCACATTCTGTTTTAATAAGCTTGGCAACCCTGTCTTGTCTGGCTGGGATTGAACAGAAAGGTTTTCTAACGATCACGTTTCCCACCCAAATATAATTACTGTGTGGATAGGCGAGGAGAATAGTCTAGGACAGCAATTGTCTTATATTGCTAGTAGCTATGCCCCTTTATAATAGACAGCCCAAAGAGTTTTGTTTGTGTATGATTTTACATGTCCGGTGTCCATTTTGTATATCGTATTATGTCATTGGACAACATTTTCTAAGCTGTGTTGATGTGATTTTACCGTGATGATTCGATTTGGAATCTTGTAAAACAATTAGAACCCATAACACAAATCATAAAACAATTTTCAAAAGTCCATAGATAGCTAAAGTGAGCCCAATGCTTCCCGCTGCCAAAATCAGTCGGAGTTTCCAGTGAGCATACGATGTCTGGAACTGTCTGTTCAGGTAGTCTACCGCCAGCTTGGTGTCTGCGACGCTGCCTGAATTGTCAATAATGTAATCAGCTTGCTTGCGTTTCTCACACAATGGCATCTGGGAGCTGATCCTTGCGAGGGCGTCCTCTTGGCTGAGGTGGCTGCGCGTCATGAGTCTGTTGAGCTGAGTTTCCTCATCGCTAAGAGACAAAAATAAGTCCAGGATGAAAGGTGTGTGTACTACTCAAAAAAGTTACGGGTCGTTGTTTTCCTAACTTGTATGTTTTTCCAAGCAATGAGTGGGGGTCTAGTTTGTCTTCATTTTTTGTTTGTCTAGATTGTGTTCTCATTCAAGTAAAAAATAACCAAAATGGCCCGAAACATCAACATCAACAACATTTTCAGCAGTACAACATATAAAGTAGACACAAAATAAAAATTGTTCCTTAACATTTTTGGGTAGTGTATATTGTCAGCTATTTTTAATTCACCTTAAAAAACAACCTGGTTTTCAATGATGAACCCAAAGTTCAGTTCTGGATTCTTTTATAAAACTTGTTCATTTATTTCAAGTTCCTCTTGTGAAAAAAAAAAAATTGTGGAAACCCAATCCTAGGAAGGTTGCAGAAATGTTAGATACATTGAAACTAAAAATATAGCAGAGAATCTGTTGAGAGTCTTTTAACTTACCAGTATACCACAATAACTTTCCGTAGGAACTTCCTCAAGGCACTGCCTTCTAGTAGAAGAGGAATATCCAAGATAATATACGGATAACCTGTGGAAAGAGTAACGAGCAACTGAACAGAAAATGCAAAAATTTCATGTCTCCAAAGTCACTTCACAAAATGATGTAAGCACAATTCTGATAAAGTTTGAAGGAAATACTTAGAAAAACAAATAGAATAATTTTAAGATAAAAACCTTGCTCAGGAACATAAAAATGTCATATGCTTCAAAGCTATAGCTCGGACCTTTCAGGAAGTACTTGAACACTCTCCACATCATTTCCTTCTGGATGTAAGGATGAGTACATGAGTTCAACAGGTGTCTCTTGTCGTCATTGCCAAAGATGATCCTCCCCAATTTAGGTCTGTCAATGGTACCGTCCTCTTGCAGTATGTCACTGCCAAAGTGTTTAACAATCAGCTTCCAGGAGGGTCTGTTGGGCACAACCACTGATCAACAGGTAGGGTAAAAACAAGAACGATTCTTCTTACAACCATACCGATCAACAGGTAGGGTAAAAACAAGAACGATTCTTCTTACAACCATACCGATCAACAGGTAGGGTAAAAACAAGAACGATTCTTCTTACAACCATACCGAACTCCAAAGAACTAGGAAGTGCATTGTATCATGTAATGGTTGGGTAAGTTTTAAGGAGATTATGGGATTGAAAATCTGTTTAAGTATGTGATTAGCAAGTGATAAGTATTTATGGATTTATCCATTTATGTTCATTGATTCAACCTGTTTTACTTAACAAATTTCTGTACGTATGATATTCGTACCCTCTCTAGCAATCAAATCGGCATCGATGACCGGACATCCCAGCTCTCTGAAGAAGTTGGAGACGGTGCTCTTACCAGATGCAATGCCACCAGTCAGACCAATCAAATACATGGCTCGGGATTGTGTCCCCCAAATGTATCAGTATCGCCAAGCTGGGGTAACCATGGAAACAAGATGTTTTCTTAATTTAATTACATGTATATGGCAAGAGTCTTCGGGCAAACATGTTTATGATGAGAAGTAACGAAAATTTGAAAGTGTATGTGTACGAGGTTGACTATTTCCTACCGTGTGCTGTATTCACGAGTAGATCATGGTAGTTTATCTGACATTTCAAAAAACAATACTAACTCAAAATGAGCGTACCGTGATCTATCAATTTTATTACATGTCTGAACAGCACGTCTAGTCTGTGTATGTACATGTACCTGTAGCCACTGTGCTAAACTTACCTTATGAAATCCAAACCAAATACACTTTTCTAGAGATTTCCATTAACAAGTAATTACAGTTACATGAATGCTGAAGTTATTACTTCCCCAGCGTTCATCATTATATTGGTTATCTACGCTCTCGATGTCAGGTGACCAAAAAAAAATGCTCATGTGACCTTAGTAGCCTTGACCAATCAGAACCATCGTTATGAAGCTGGCGGGCTGTCAATTTTATCAGTCAAGATGGCGGCGCACAAGGATCACCACCGCCGACAGAAAACGTGTGATATTCGGCCTGCATATAGAGTTGGCAGACGTGAAACAGCTGTGAAAGTACGTTGTGTAGTTAGCAAAATATTAGAACGTAACTTTGTTTTGATTAAATACAGAAACCAGTCGTGGCAATCTTTTAGAACACGGTATAAACATGATAAAGTGTTTGCCCAGTTTCCGTACAAAGGAAATGCACTGCACCGAGTCCGACAGAAGTGGGAAAGAGTTTCGCACATCCTGTGCACAAACCGTTTGGGGCTGGTCTGAAAAATTCTAAGGGTTTTCTTAGTAAATGACTTGGTTTTTTTCCCTCCTGGGCTAAATTGAACTTTTCTGGCATGTCTGGACGTGGTCATGATGGTTTTGCTTTCTGGTAGGCCAGTACTAGTAGTAGTACTAGCAGCCTACCATCAGTCATGACTGATCCAGTCCGAAATTCGAAAAAGAGGAATACCAACACTCCGCTCAGTAGATCTAGGCTAGGCCTGGCATCCATATATGGAACTCTTCCTCAGAACCAATCCGAGTTCAAGTTAATAATCACGTTAGGCCTATTTATTTAGGTCGAACATCTGTACTGTATGTGTTGATGGTGGGCCTGTGTCTTCTTGTTTCGAAGTAATTGCAGAATAGGCCGGGTACTACCCTGCCACTCAAAAAAAAAGAAAAAAAAAAGCACTGCTGGCTGCCCTGGAATGACTTGTTACATAGGCATGCCTACAAGGTGAAAATTCCATGAGAAAAGTGTGACTCTTTGACAGGTCATGTAAGGAATCCTTTTGGAAAGTGTTCCATATATGGACATCACTTGACACCTTGTTCACAAACCCTTTGAGCCTAGTCTGAAAAAGTCTGTTTTCTAAGAAAAGAAGTCAATATTTTCACTGCTAAATTTGACTTTTTGGGGCATGTTATCACTTTCAGGGAGTGCCTCATTATTTAGAACGGCCAGAATGTGTTGTCATTCTGGAACAGTTGGCTGTTCCGTTGGGAACAGTCACGTTTTATATGGAACACTGTTTCTTAGTGAGAATGTCCTCAATCGGGTAGCTTCATATCGCCAATGTACAAATCTTAGCCCGATGTCCAAAAACAAAGCCTGCCATGGCAATCGAGCGAGGTAAACTACTTTGCTCTTATTTTTATTTGCTTAATTTGAATAAGAATTGTAAAACTGGAGATGGAAATGTGCTGTGGCAGAATTTGTTCATCTGATGATGGGAATTTTGTTTTAGTCGGAGATACAAAAGTGAAAATCACTACGTGCTGACTTCATGCAGAGTACATATATATATCGGTGTGTGCATCACTGGGCTATAGGCTGCAATACCAATGTAAGCTTAATTGCCTTAGTCATGTCGTTCAACCTTTTTTCGTGATTTTTGAAGATCTCATCCCGCACTCCTTCATTTACAGGTTTGGTTTCCAAATTGTTTCTGATATGATGGAATACATTGCAATGGAAACATTGATAAACCCCTCTACTATGCAAGCCCAACAATGAATGAAACACTCGCGAGTACAGACATTAACATGAGCACAATAAAATGAATGTCCAGAAATACTCTGAATTAAAGCTATATGTGATGGTGAATATAGAACAGAATATCGGGAGAAAAGTGAACCTTTGTGAGGAGTAAATCACAAAATGCTGTGCTTCAGCTGCCATGCTTCAGACAGGGTCTAGAAAATGAATGCCAGAAATCTTTTTTCCCGATTGCTGATGTAACAGCAGGACCGTTTCACTGGGAACACGCGATCCCAATGGAACCCTGCCTGCGGTCTATGCACAAAGTGGAACGTGCCCGCGATGCAGGCTCGTCCCGATGGAGCATCAGTATTCCAGTGGGAACAGTCCAACAGAACGAGAACTTTCCCGATTTTTGACACGATTTTTGATACAAGTGATGTCCATATGTGGAACTCTTACCCCTATGAAACTTGTCTGAAAAAACCCTTGTGCTTTAAAATTAAGTGCTTTTCTAAGTAAATGCTTCAGAAATTTCTTAGCCGATTTCACTTTTTGGGACATGTTATCACTCTTTGATGGCTGCTAACACATTTAAGGGAAAATTATTGTTGTCGGTATATGGAATTCTTTAACACTTTTTATTGCGCCTAACCGAATTGAAAGTCAACACTTAACATAAATTTTATATATTATTGCTTAATGTTAGTTACACTTAACTTTTGGATCTGGTTAGTGATTGATTGTAGTTCAGTATTTTTCCTTTGCATTCATTTCATCTTTTCTGCTTTTTCATGACGTAGGTGTATACAATCAACCAGGAGTCACGGTTTCTGTTAATCCAGGGTGTGCCAGACATCAAAGTGACTGAGGAACTGCTGAAGCTGTTTTCTTTGTACGGCACCATTGAAGAATATCGTATCTTGGAGGATTACCCAGCTGAGGCATTCACAAAGGTCTACTGGATCAAATATACTGAATTACAAGCAGCAAGGTACCTTGTAACATCCTTTATCTCTGAAATCTTTGGCATTTAAACTTCTTCACGAATCTTCCCAGAATGATCCATTTTCCAAGAACTAAATGGTATATCCTGGCCTTTTTTGTACTTCAAACGATATGTACCCCCAGCCAAAGTGCTAGTCACTGGGCTGCACTTCTGTTAATCCAGTATTAAAATCCTTGAAAACTTCCTGTTGGATTTGAGAGATCTAGAAGGATTAGGGTTAACAGGAATGGATTTTCTTTATGATCTGTCAGTGTCAGATGGGTTGGTGCCTGACTGTTTTTGGTTCCGTGCTTCACTTTCATTTTTTTAAGATGTGGCTTAACCCTAACCACCTCAATCCTCCAAATCTGTTTGGTGGTTTTGGAGGATACTGGAGGATTCAGGATGAAAGATGATTTGAACAGACAAGGATTTTGGAGGATTGAGGATGAATGGTGAATGAAGTACTACAAATCGGTCACATAGTGGTGTAAATGGACACCCATTGTACTGTTTACAATATACATGTACATGTACCCAAGGACAGTGTGTTGCATTAATCACTGCTGCTGGTCATAAATGACACAATCCTTAATTGCAGTGTGTTAAAACAAATGTATAAATCATTTGGATATAATAAATCACTTTTTAAATTATGCACCATTGTGAATTAAATTTCATGCAGTTTGTAGTGAACTTCAATTTCATTGCTTGAATTTTTATTCATATGTTTCCAAAATGAAAAAGTTACCCTTGCTTTCAATTCAATATGGCTGACTTGTGAATACTGACAATTGACTTTTCATCATGCTAGTTGCAGTGTAGAATTACTTACTCTGAACCACTTGCTGCCGGGTGGTTTGAAAAATGCAGTACACACATATGGGCCATTTTCAAGATTTTCAGTGTTCAAAATTCTTCAAAAATTCATTATTTCATTTAATTTCATTTAATGGACGTTTACACCCGCACGAATGACTGTCTGGTGGCTACTCTAATCTGACAGACAAAATCTAGTGACGCCCGAGTATTTCAGCAATGCCTGCAGCCTTGTAAAAAGAGCCCAGATTGAGCGGTGTTATGTAATTTTCTTTTGAAAATGAACCTGGCACAGTGTGCTGCCGACCTCTTTTCAATAGGGGCCAGATTAGCGTGCAGCGGTGCTGTGTGGCTCATCGCTGCGAAGGTGGAGAGCTCTTGTCCCTGATGCGCTTGCGCTAAATACCCAAACTGTGGTATACTGTTTCAAAACAAGGCTAGATTATCTCCACTATTGAGAGTGAAAAAATGTTGGTGATGCCCAGCAGCCTGGTCTTTTCTTACAAGTACGGTCTTTTGTTACAAGGCCCAGTTCCCTTTGTCCGATTTTGGAGACCCCGGCCACGTATATAAAGAATACGTGTCCGGCACCGGCAACCTTGGTAGCAAGTGGTTAATAAGGGAATAAGTTTGGAATCAAGTTATTTGTGAATAATTTCAAAGGTATAAAGGAGTTTTGCTGAAGTTCATCTTTCCGGCAGTCCCTTATGTTTGGGTACAGGAAATATTTACTTTGGAATTTGTTGTATCCCTCATTCCAAGGGCAGCCAAGCGAAAGATGGATGACCGTCCATTCTATGGGGGCACACTCCACTTGTCTTATGCCCCGGAATACGAGTCTGTGGAAGACACCAGACATAAGTTGCAGGAACGTAGAAAGGATATTGCCAGACGGCTGAGGAAACTGCACAAGGAATGCAGTGGTGAGTTTTAGTCCTGTGACCTTTGTCAGTCCATCATGAATTTCATGTTTGACTGGGAGGCTTAAAATTTACATGGACAAAATTTACAAAGTTCTTTTTCTGTTTCAGCCAATGTGTCTGCTGATAACAGTGGTCAGTCTTCCTCAACTGTACAGGGCATTGATGAGCCCATTGATGCAAGGTCTAGCTCTCAGACTTCTTCTGGTCAGGACTTATGTACAAGCCAACTGATTGGCCCACAGAAGCCAGACTCGGCCTTATCCCTTCCGGCTGCTAGTTCTGTAGACTTGCATCAGTCTGTTGACAAATCTAGTTCAACATCACTTGGTGATTTCAGCGAGAACGTACCAAAGCAGCTTCCAGCCCCACCAAGGCCTTTACCTGTCTGGGAATGGGAAGATCCAGTGTCATCACATGACCAGTATCCACGGTTACCAACAGCTCACGCCACCCTACCTCAAAATTTCAACCCCTACCCCGATGGCTATGAACCTGTAATACCAGGCAATGAAAAAAAACAACATTGTGAAGAAGGCAGGAACCTAATGCCTGTATCAGAACCAGTCAAAAATACAGAGGGGCAGCCTGTGACAGATGTGGGTGCATTGGACCCTGTGAAAACAGGGGCAAGGCCGAAATCGAAATTCCCAGCAAGGAGAAACCAACCGCCTTGTTTGAGATTTTTAGACCGCATCGCTTGGCGGGATGCTGATAAACAGAAAGGAGTGTCGGCAAGAAATGAGACTGGATCTCAAGATGGGACCTCTACTGAATATAGAACACACCGTGGTACCGTAAAAAGACCCCACCCCAACCAGTATCCTGACCCATCCTACCAAAGCACAGCTCGTGCTCTACCGGACCCACAAACATCATTTGTTCCTCGGCAGTTGCAAGGCAAACGGAAGCATTGTAATCGTATGCCCTCTCAGCCAGAGCTAGCAAAATTTGAATTAAGTTGTGATGGAGGGGTGGGGCAGTCAGAGAGAAGGGGACATGGCGGGGCTGGTTCAACAGAAGACCAGCTGCCACTGAACACAGGAAGTATATCATTTGACAGGACGGTGCAAGATATCAGGAGACAAATGAGAAATGTAAGTGGCAGTATCTTGAGTTCATTCACCATTTGGTCCCAAAACAGTCATCTGGAACTCAATTCGTGGCAGAATATTTTGCTGGGCAAATTATTTGCGAAGCGGAAATGAGTCACTGAAGTATTTATTCATATATTTCCGATTTGATCGAGCTAAAGCCCTGTCGGTTATAAACTCGTCAGTGAAGAAAAGTTCAGTTCAGGTGGGAGGATAACCCTAGACAAATATTCATGGCAAAAACCCTCAGGATCAGGTAGGAACTGAGAAACCAATCTGCATGTTGGCCTGGGATTCCGACCCCGGGCTGCAGAGGTGGAAGGGAAGGACGGTACCGCTGCACTAACCTGACTCCAAGGAAACCTCTAAAATTAAGTGACTATTTTGGGTTGCGTTATTTTCATTTATGTGCAGCAACTTTGTAAATTTGAGGAAAGTCTGCTTGTTGTCTCGTAAACCATAGCTCTGTGATTTAAACTCAATTCTGTCAATCTCAGCAATGTGCAAGATTAATACACACACTGTTTTACAATGTGTTATCCAGAAAAGCAGCACAAAAGGCCCAACGTGAGTCAATAAGAACTCGTCTCACTGAACAGTTTCACTGTTGGATCCTCTGGGTATGAGACACCTTCCTCCACTCCGAGTTTGAACTCTGAAACATTGACTTACTGCTCCACTGGGCACCTATCAATAAAAGAACTAGGTTTAGAGGATAAGAGAAAGTCCCTTCGCTGAGCGTCGCATCCTTCGATGCTAGGGGCATGTTCAATCTTCTCATGTTTGTCATGTTTCCTTTCGCAAACGTCAGGTTGTACCAGGATCCAGTCGGCTCGCAAGTACACAGTATCAAGCAGCACCTCCACCCCAACCTGCAGCTGCGGCAGCACCAGCAGCAGCAGCAGGAGATGCAGCAGATGGTCCGTCGGCAACCAAACGCTTGAGGATCTGATTGATTGCTGCTAATGACATTGCAACCAGGAAGGCAGGTGAATTTTTGACATTATAAACAACGGCATGTTATTAAACCAGTTGCTTGATATCTTCAGCTGTCCTGAATTCGTGTATTGCAGTTGGAGAAAGCATACTCTGACTTTTTTTGAAGCATTTGATTTGATTTGATTGGAAGTTTGTTATCCTTATTCGGAAACTTGTTTTACACTGGATTTAGCGCGTAATCACAATTATTACAAACAACTAAATACGACTTTTCAGTTCATCAATTACAGTGGGCATTCACAATGAAATTTATGGCGTACACAATATGAGGGCGCTCTTTGAAGTGGGTAAATTTGGAGTAAACACACAGGTCGAGTTCGGGCGGCCTGTTCTTGACACAAGTTTCTTGTTCTCGCGCTCGAACGGCGGGAACACGACTCAAGAACACTTCTCGGAACAGGATCACACACCACCTCCTCATCAGGGTTTTACAGGAACACACGGAAAAACTCGTGAAATTTTAGATTTTTGAATAGCTGCAAAACAGAAATGAATGTTCCTGTTTATACAGAAAAGAATAAATAACATGGACGCCGCCATGTTGCATGTTGCTTGTTTGTTTCCGGCGTTTGAGCGGCCGACCCACGAACAACAAATCGAACTGTTCGTGAACATACGGGAACAAGCCGCCCGAACTCAGCCACAAGTTCTTACCTTCACCAAATAGCGCCCTCCTATTGTGTCCATCACACCTCAAATACCTGTACATGTAGGCTTATGGCTTTTCCCCTCTTCATCAACCTAGTGTCAACTTCCAGTGCTTCAAAGCTGTAATGTGTATCTGTTGCTGCCCTCTAGAGTTGAAATAATGAAAGTGTAGGGTGTTTGGTTTTGCACTTCCCCAAACATACATACTGCATGGGCATGTGACAGACATGTGAAATACAGGTCATCATCACTGCGGCTCCACAGCGTGAATCAGCCGCCAGTTTAGTGGAAAATCACTTCTCGGGTGTGTCCCACTCCAAGAACCATCACAAAATGTTTCGGGTGCCAAGGGCAAGGATCCTTCTGACCTAGTTTCCCTTAATCCACGGAGGATTACACGAGGCTTAACCCAGTCGCATGCATACGCAGAAGTCAGAAACGGAGGGGGGGGAGGGAAAAAACCGGGTCAGAGGCGTGCGACCCTCTTCCGCGTAGACTTACTGGCAGCCAACATGAAGTGCTTGTGATTGTTAGAGTTAATTGGTTGAAATCAGAGGCACCTAGTGCTGCAATCTGACTCAGCGGGCTTTGACAGCAAGATAGCGCCTGATAGGGTGGATTAGCTCTATGCAGGGATGTGGTTTAGGGATACATATCACGAGGAAATGTTGTGTAAGTCAGTGAGCAAGAGTTTTTTTTTTTCATGGTTGGAAGGAGGAGGGTATTGTAGAAGTAGATTTTAATATAATTGCAGTCACTGAACGGATGAATACTTGGTGGTGTAGATTAATTATTTGGCTTGGGGAAAATGGGGCTGAGATTAAGAGACTTTTTCGAGGCAGGAGAAAACTTAGGCACGGTATTCTTAGGTAATAATCTACAGACTCAAACAGGGACTGAAAAACCTTGTCATTGAGAGTTTGCAGAAATGGACAGCTGTTTTTCAAGTCTTCTGGTCCTGTTTGTCAAAACAAGTGGTCATGAATTGATATGAAAACAGGAAATCTCCAATAGTGGCAGTGAAGTTGTTTGTTCTCAGCCGCCTGTTTGTTTGCCCGTTGTTCCCTTTCATCTTGTTTTCGGGTGAACTTCTTGTTTTTAAACATTTGATTGCGAGGTTCCCATAGGTACAGAAAAGAAGTCACAAGATATATTTATAACCAACTATTAACTGGAAGCATCTGACGTTGGTGTGAGTGGTTGAAAACAAGCAAAACTAGAAACATTTCAGTTTTTACAAAGCTGAACGAGGCTTCTTTTGCACACAATACCAATTTGAGATGTCACCACAGTTGACAACTTCAGACCTTTATGTGTCTGAAGTTGTGTGTACAAAACTCTCCAGCATCAAGGTTAAATTGGCATTGTGGATGAATCTTGGACCATTTTTACCAAATTGCAGCTTTTTCTTGATCCAGAAATGGCCATTCTCAAGGTTGAAGAGTTAGACCCACATTTTTGAAAATCCTTTCTGTTGAACTTTGCCCTCAAAGTTGAAGGTTTGATGCATTTATCTTTATTGCAGTAAATGGAACTGTTCAAGAGCTGGAGGACCCCATTGAATTGAATGAGGTGAGAAGTCAAAGGTCATGGCCATAAAGCAAAGACAATGGGTCATGTGAATAAAAAGTAGCATTTGCTTTTACTACCATTTGTGAAGCATTTACTAGTGTTTGTATGAATAATAACGAAGCAAATGCTATTACTTCAGTGCAATTGCTAAAAAGTAAAAGTATTTACTTTTTACTCTTTAAGCTTGTGCTTGACAATAAGCAGTTTCATTTTGTAGGAATAAAAATGAGTAAGTTCTACAGAATTGGAGTATTTACTTGACATTTTTCAAGACTGGGTCAGGGCAAGCTTGAAAACGAGGAGCATTTACTAATGTTCAAAATGGCAGCGTTCATGAATGTCATTCGAAAGAAAAGGCTGTATGCCTTTAGGAGGGAATCTCAAGAAACCAGATGCAGGCAGTTGTACCGATTTGAGAGTGGCAGAGCAAATTTCTTCAAGGTTTTTGTGATCAAAATTACTGCCATCGTGCTTATCTGCCATGCTGAGGTATCAAGATACAGCACCGTTCTGCACTGTGTGCGTCTGTACGTGCAGACAATGGAAGCCCTATTGTGGAAAACCATTCAGCTGTGAAGTCAGCCACAAGCATAAAGCATTTGCTACTATTTATACCAGTAGATGCTGAATAGTAAAGGAAACATTTTATTCCAACAAATTCTAGCATTTGCTTATTCTTAATGGTTTGACTTCTCAGTAAATGCTTTTACTGTTTGCTTGAACTTCATAGCATTTGCTAGTTCTTATTCAGATTAAGCTACCTTTGGGCCAATTTTAGACAGTAATTTTTCTTTGATGGACTTAGTAATATATTCTGTGTAATTTCAGGCTAGACTGAAATTGTCATAATTTTCAGGTCAAAGTAATATAAACTGCAAGGGGTTAGCTTTGCAATTTTATTCAAATTTGGCCAACATTTACCTTTTCTCTGAACCTTTTCTCCAAAATGCATTTTGAACAGAAAATGACAAATTTTGGGCCATTTGTAGACCTTCAGTTTTCTCTGATGGACTCGGTAATATTTTCCATTTAAATTCAAGCTAATTTAAATTTACCATCATATTCAGGTCAAAATACTGTAATTAAAAGTGCAAGGGGTTAGCCTTGCAATTTCATACAAATTTGGTCAAAATTTCTCTTTTCCCTGAACCCTTTTAAAAAAGCATTTTGGGAATAAAAAAGTAATTAGGGGGATTTTTAAACATTGATTTTTCTTTGTTGGTCCAAGTTTGCATATTCTGTGATTTGAGGAAATAACGTCATTTTCAGGTCAGACTAATTAAAACTGCAAGGGGTTAGCCTTGGCAATTTCATAAAATTTGGCCCAAAAAAATTGACTTTCGACCTTTCTCCAAATCCTTCTAAAATGCATTTTGAGCAGGAAAAGATTAATTTGTGGCATTTTTAGACCTTCATTTTCTTTGTGGACTCTAAAATTTGGACAAATTGTTGACATGTTGAAGGAGAAAATTGCATGCATGTTTTATTTTGCCACCAAACTGGAACAGTTTTATGAGCAGCGTCAACAATTTTGACTAATATTCTACAAGAGTTCACAATAATAATATTATACAAATAATGAATGTTTACGAGTGTAATGATATAAAGAATAATTTCAGGAGGTGAGAAATGAAATGTTCCATTCCACTCAGCTTCGCCATGTGAAATAAAACATTTCACCTCATCAAATTACACTTGCCACTGACCAGACTTGAAACATTCACTATTTGTTCCATAAAATACCTGCATAAATCCTCTGGTCATTTCCTCGTCTGCTACAACCAACAGTCCTGGAATATTAGTGTCCACCATTTGGCAAAACAAATTTCTGTCCGCAGGTAGAACCGTGCAATGTTAGACAATTTCCTATCTGTACAGTTTTCGCTTTCCTTCTGGATATGACAAAAGGGGGTGGGAACAAGTCAAGTGAAATGAAGTTCTATTCAACAGGTACTGTTGAATTAAATGAATAATTCAATGACATGTGATCACGATCCACCAATCAGATGACGAGGATTTCTGCAGGTATTGTATACATATATATTACACGACAAAGGAGGACTGTTACATTTCTGTCAACGGCCAGTATCTACTTGTGTAATGTACTAAACAGAACTAGTAAATATTACATGAAAACTTTAAATAACAGCTACAGTTTTATGCATGATGTTAAGTTCCATGAAATTTTGAAGGACTCAAGGCTCTGGTTTATATTGAAGTTTTACTCATGAAGTCCTCGGACATTCTTGTCGAAAAGCTTCACTGCTCCTCCAACATCCTCTCCTAGCCTGTCTTGGGTGGTGTTGGAGTCGAGTCCATTGCAAGTCCTTGCACAAGTCCCTTCACTAAGCCGGTCATAAGTAACAGGGTGAATGACAAAAGAATGCTTTTGTCACAGCCTAAGACTGAATAACCTGTGATGGACTGATAGGAACTTCTAGGGACTTGTGATGGACTCAAATACTACCCTGGTATGTTCTTTGTACTATTGGTATTTAATTTAACTATTAAAAAAATTAACAAAAAATTTCAGAACAACAAACTACAAAAGACGATCTTTATTGAGCCTGACTTCCGTGCCTAACCCTTCTTGGATTTTTAACGGAATTACAAACTGTTTCTTCTTACAGACTAACCACTTAGCGCCGGTTGACCCCATATGGCCCACACAGCCAGGTGGCCTCATGTGGGGACCGGACTGACTGCTATGAGTCACCATAGGCTGTAATCCCCCTAATATGAAGTACAATGGCATGAAATACCGCAGCGCTCTAGGCCAGCCTGGCTGACAAATGCATCGCCCAGCCCGCCCATTGTTTGTCGTTCCTGGCAGGGTGGAGGGCGAACAAAGAAGCCGTTATGTAACACCACAATAAACATAACAATGGTATTTTTTGAAAGCGTCCGGCCACACTTCACTGCCTTCTGACTCTCATTACATGAGATGATTTCTTGGGGGATTTTTTCCTATAAAAGTATGGCGAATATGAATATCAAAATCATAAAACACCGCCCGGCAGCCTGTAATTCAAGGGAAGTTTTTACCCGGCGTTAAGTGGTTAAAGCAAGCTTTGGTGTTGTTGACGGGCCACCCGGGCTCTCTAAGCCAGGTTACAAACTGACCCGGTCCATCAAGTAAAGTCTGTCAATTAAACGCTAAACTCAGATTGACAAGGATTAGCTCTATTAGCAAATTGGGTCATCACGCAATGCAGATAGCTGCCTACAGGATATTGCATTAATCATCATCACATCTTCACATGAATCATGTCGGTTCCTTCTCCTTCCTTGGGATTTAAGCGAGGAGCAGGCTTACACAATGTCAAGTCTGTTCGTCAATCTGCCACTTCTAAGCCATGTAGGGTGACTGAATTTTGCCTTTAAGTGGACGGCTGCCGCGATGTTCTTGGTAACACGGCGTTGGTGAGGCACTGGGTGTGTCTAAATGCTGAACTGATTCCAACAATGATACTGATGACATTTGCTTTCGGAAATTTGTCACTTGCTGAGAGAACTGGCAAGAAATTGGAACAAACAGAACGACAAACAATTATTCTTTCATATAATTGCTATTGGATGCGCGTACAACCTAAAGAGGGCAGTGTGTGGCTTGGAAGAAACATCAAGTTTACTGCTTGACAAATTAATCTACTGAGCAAACAATTAGCAGAGAAATAGAGGACATTTTGGCTGTTGCAATCTCTTGGCCAATACATGTCATTTGTTGTTCAGCAGCTTAAGGAAGGATTCAAAGAGGAATCCGACAAGGATTAAAAAAACATTCAAACGGGGTTGGAAAGGGATTTGATAAGAAGTTGACTGGATCACAAGGACTTTTCATAGATTCAGCAAGGTTCCACTAGGGTTCCAACCTGGTTCCCCAAAGGCTCCAATAAGAAATCAAACAGGGATGCAGCAACGTTCCCACCAGGGTCCAGTAAGGAATTCCACAGGGTTAAAAAAGGGATCCAACAAAGTTCCACGGGCACCCCCAATGGAATTAGGCAAAGCCCTGATTTGGGTCTGGCAGAAATAACACAAACCCAACAGGGAGAGAAAATAATCTTCAACAAAGATAAGCAGTAGCTTGAACTGAAAAAAAAAATTGCTCAAATTGCCCAGTTAGGCTCATCAATCTCCCCTGGACGTCAGTTAGTATCTTCCCTGGCTCTACCGAAATCACGTCCTGCGTTAAGCCCTGACCCATTTGCTGACAGTGTGACCTAGATCAAAACAGATGAGACAGGGAAGAAAGTGCTGGGGTCAAAGGAAGTATTGAGTTTCAGTCCTGTAACCGGCTTGACGCCGTTCTATCTCAGTCGTGTCATAAAATACTTCCAACTGGACAACTTACAGAATTGACATAAAGACCTCTCCGCCCACAGGTGATTTCAGGGTAGACCGTGTTGGCTACTTTCAATCATAAAAGAGAACAGCGAGTGCTTGTTTCTGACAAAAGCTGGAGACATATGTATGTTTAGGTGGAAACAAGTGACTGAATAGGTAGTGGGTCTCTCGACTTTTCATTGTTGTCAAAAGCAATTTGTGAGGTAAAACTGCAGCTCTGAACTTTAAGCAGCAATGGGGGGGGGATCCAGTGAAATGGCTGACAGCGCCCTCTGTTGACTCGGGGGAACATGGTTAGGTATACTTCATTATTATGATTTCAGATATAAATATGAAGGTTGTCCCTGTTTAACTGAATGACATTCCCTCAATCTATTACAATATCTCGGTCACTTGATATTTACTAAGCAGACCACCAACTTAGAATATTGTATATGGGGGAGATGGAAGAGAAGGTCAACAGCTTTCAAAAGTGATATGACAATCATGCAACAGACTGAGTCAAGGAAAAATTACAATGTTGGGGGGGGGACCTAACAGGTGTTTACCAAGTGGACCACCTAGTGTGAATGTTGTATATCTGCCAGGGATGGAGATGGGGGGGGGTTGTTGTCCTGGATATCCCATAAATTATAAGTGGGGCGAGATTTAAACCTAAACCTGAAACGATGATGTGGAACCCGTGGCTTTTGGGTAGGGATGGAAAACTTTGCGTTATTCTGCCACAGCTTTAATGCTCATTAAATTAAATCTTTCCTGTTTGCAGAAGCATCTTCGTATTCAAGCTTAAAAGGACTTTTTAAAAACTGTACTTTCAAGACCCCCTTCCAATCAGCCTTACAAAATCAGTAAATATCAGTACGTTGCATACAATTTTACACTCTCTGGGACTACTGATGTGTAATCTGTAGCATTGACTAGGGGAAGAAAAAAGTTCCATGAGATTTTGGTCAGGAAATCTCTGACTTGAGACAGCTTGTCGGTGGTTTAAAGCCGATATCCGGCTGAGCCTGGTGGGTGTTTAATCATGAAATCAATCTGTGTGGGGGGGGGGAGAGAAAAGCTGCAGACGGTGAATGTCAAAGAACTAATCTAGCAGATTGTGCCCCAGTGCAGCAGAGACTTCCATTTCAATACAGTTTGCCATCTCCCATTTCCCACTTCAGAAACGGGTCTTTTTTGGGGGGGGGGTAATATGTCAAAGTGGATTTAAACTGTAATATTGGAAAACTCACCAAGGGCGTGCAGCAACTCTACTTTGCTTTGGCTTAGTTTGCCCCCTATTTCCCCCCCTCCCCGATTGTTTTTCCTCCACAAACCGTACCCCTCAAAAGTAAAATATTTAGCTAAATGCAAGCAAGTAAACTGGTGTCTCTGATTGACCTCCTTGACCCAGAAGGCTCAGAGGAATAAAGATCGCTCAGACTATCTTCCTCCCAGCTGAAAGGAAAGGAGGCCGAAGCCAGACCCAAGGGGCTCTTATCAGTTGTCACGACCCCCTTTTTTTTCCCTTTTTCTAGCCCTCTTCAACCTCGGTACCCCTTACAAGATGCCAGACTGATTTTGAAATTGATGTTTGACGGTGAGAATAATAACGACATTGCTCTCCTTTGGGGTATGATGGGGGGAGGGATTTTTGTGTCAAGGGATCCAGTGATTGCTTTATCAATGCCCGCATGCCCACCTAGGGCGGATGTGGTTTGTTTTATCTTTCGTGGAAATTGATAGATTGACTGTGAGAGGTAGAGCCACACGTGAAGGTGCCCCTTGTGAGGGTAGAGGGGGACCGGATTGGGTCATGCCATGTCCAGTGTCTGCTGCTCTGGCCGTTGCTGAGAACACCGATTAATTGAAGAGGAAGTCCCTTCTGGAGCTGGTGTCACTTCCCACCAGAAACCCCTGACCCCTTGCAATGACCAGGCACGGACTGAAAATTATCACTATGGGCGTGAAAGAAACGGCTTGAGTTTTCTCCTCAGGAAAAAAAAAAAGCTGGCACTGATCAAAGAAGTGTTGCGTGACTGATGCAGAACTGAAATTGTCATCACACCCAGAGTTCAATTTCATGGTTCTGCTCAACATAGAATTTCATGATTATGGCTGTCGTCAGTGCTTACACAGTATCCACGCTGGAATTCTGGGTCTAACCTGTCCATCCAGAGTACTACTGGTCTTAGTATCCTTTCCTTTAGCAGCAAAGGCTTTGCCCTTAGAAAATGTAAAACTTTGGGCCCGCTGATGTCCCTAATAGAAGTGCACTTCTTGCAGGTCAAAATGCCTTGACAAGGCGATTCTTATTAAACCAAACCACCTCAGAGGAATGTCTTCCTCTAAACCTTAAAATCAGAGAGCTTTTAATGAATATGGGTGATTCCCAATAGTGCACTTCCAAGAGCTTGTAATGCATTAGCCAATCACAACGCTTGAAATCTGATGACCCTTTCCAAATGCCCACTGGGTTGAGAAATTTTGCACATCGTGATTGGCCAACGCATTGCAAACACTTGGAAGCGCACTATTGTGAGCCCCCCCCCCGTATTGGCAAGTAGCAGAGTTTCATCACTCCTTACTCATTATACAGTGGAGGGACAGCGGATGTGACGCTATGTGTTCCGGATGCCCAGTGCCTGTTCCAGTTCGGCACGGCGTTGCTGGACCTTGCTGTAGAAGTAACGGCGGACAGCTTCTTGAGCCCAGGGCTGGTAGTAGAAATCACTTCGACGTTCCTCCTCTGGATTTCCAACAACGTCCGTCATGGTCTGCCGACGGGACAAAAGAAAAACAAAAATATATGTCTATTACAATAATGTTCCCATCTCGAGTGGTGGCGGAATGACTTTGTGAGACCACGGACCATCTACCCAGGGATGTGCAACTGCGAGTGGCCCCAGTGCAGACACATGTGTGACCTTGGTTCCATGCGTGTTACGGATTGTTATTACCCCCGCAGGCGCTCTCGACTTTCTGGAAAAAACTCGCGACCACATGACACGCGTTGCAGCATGTACAGTACAGCCGTGGTTATGCTGAGACGACGCGCCGACGCGGTGCTTAAATCTATTCGTTTTGACAAATAAATCTTCTTTATTTATTGATTTCAAGCAGAAGCAAAGTTTTAATGAGGCAAAATTCTCCAATTTTGTGGTACACTTTTCTCAGAATGTATAGGATGAAATATCTTGATCAACATATTTTTAGAAAGGGTGTACCCTGACTTAAAACATTACAAGAAAACAAAGTGGTAGACAGGAATATATGTTTTATTATTAGAGATAATCCAACTTAATTTCTGCTTTGATATTCTGCCGGCCGTCACACGCATTGAACCAGCTCTGAGCTTAAGTTGCACATTCCTGGGTAAATGGTCCGTGGTGAGACCATGAGGTATCAGCCGATAATAGAATGATATATGCAATATGAGGTCCTGTACAGATTGAGATGTGGGGGGGGGAAGTGACCAAAACCAATCGTGATACTGGACATTTGTGACTATAACTCCACATTTTGATGAAGAGAACGACAGCAGTATAATAAAGATTGAGAAGAAAACTCAACGCAGACAATTCCATTGAGACCTTAATTGGGATAAAAATGGCAAGCAATCTGTTATGTTCCGAACTTTTCCGAAGTCACGTTTTTCATTATGACTCGGCAATTATTCCACTTTATCTTCTTTTCTTCTGCTTGCCTTGGACAAGAGATCATATTGCTTGCCATCCATCAAGCCTAAAGAAAAGTGACACGATTGCAGAACTGGCAGTGACTACACGAGGCGTCAGACCAGTAGGCCTCGCAGCCTGCCTAAAAATACACAAATTAAAGGATTAACTGATTTCCTGTGTTTTGATAGCGTAACCCAACCAATCAAGCCGGTGAAGTCACTTCTGGACGGGCCCATGGCATCTGTCGCTAGACGTTAGGCCTAGATAGCGTCGTTCACAGACAAGCCAAATCTCCTCTTGTTTCCTCTTTTCCCCTCTGTCTTATTTCGAACTAGGTCAGGGTAATTTGAAGCTGCTGGGAGGAGACAAAATGCAGTCGCACGCAAGGGCACTGGGAATTCATTATTTAGAGCATCAATCTAGGTTTGGGAAGTTCATCACAAACTTGTGAAGAACAATCAACTCGAGGCAAAGAGAACACCCCAGAAACTTGGAGAACTGCTAAACAACAGTTCAATCTTTGACTGTACACTACAAATACGAACCTTCCCACGGATAAGAAAATAAAACCAGTTCTTAAACTCATCGGTTAATTTATTGGACGATTATCTGACTGATGAACTTGTTAACAAGCTCACCATCTAATTAGACAAATCAGTTAACCTGACAAGACTAGTTAATTGCATAGTTTAAAGTCAAAGGACAACTAAAGAGAGAGTAAAAATAAAAAAGTTGGCAAAACTCCCCCATTAATCACATTAATTCAGACATCAGACCAAACTGGAAATAAAAGAGACCACAAGGCAAAAACGTGGCTCCTTTTTTTCCTCCATACCACATCAGTTCTGTGCTGAAAACTCCCTCTCCTTGAAACGGCAGGAAGAGGCACAAGATCTATGCTGAGGTCAACGGTGATTACGCGGGGGTGGGGGGGTACAGGACCCAGTGAGATGGCAAAGTACAAGTATGAATAATCCGTGACTGAGGGCTACGAGTAAACCGGCAGAAGGTTTGAATTGTTGGGGAGGGGGGAAGAAAAATCACATGAGACACATCTGGGACACCTTCTGGCGGTTGTAAGCAATAACTAGTTGGGTTGTTGAGAGTTGAATGTGTGGGTGATTTAAAGCAGCCATGCTCTGTGCACGATTACAGGAACTTTATTTCACTTCGGCCAAAACTACCCACCACCCACTGCATCAAGGTGATTGTTGTGTTTTGAATGTTGCGGGTGCTCTCTGAGGAGGAGGACGCCTACCTTAAGGTCCATGCTCTGAGACACCAGCCATTCACTGATGAAGTTCTGAGGGTCTCTGGCAAAGCCCAACATGAACTCACGCTGGATCTTGAGTTGATTGATGGTCTCCACTGTCTCATGTATCTGAGGAAGGCAAAGAGAAATATGATAACCTCAACTAGCTTGGGGGGTATGGGCCCCGAGAGGGACCAAGAGAGGGTGCAATATTCCAAGAAACAGGCTCCTTTGGTGGGAACTGCACTATGAAATGCATGCGTTTCACTTGTTGCATCACTCCCCACCAACATGGCTCTTTTCAACCAATGTGGGGGTATTTCTGCTCAGGGCAATCTAGATTGTCCAATCCATTTTTTGGATTTCTTGTTGAAATCCAACATTTACACTTTATATTGGATTGTACCTCTGGACCACCCCGCTGGTGATATCTGAGAAAAGAGAACAAAATGTTGCTTCTTGGAATTTAAAGGGACTATGATGGCCTAATGGACACTTACAATGAACCAATTTTGTATTCCAACAGTGCGTGCCCAAATTGAAGCCATTCCCAGGTCACTCGGATGTGCGTCCAAGGTCTGCCGAATCAGTGCAGTCCTTTGCAGAGTGACTTGTGAGCTTTCTTGGTTACCCAACTGGTTCATTCTGTACATGTATTAAAGAGACCATAGCTGCTGTGTATTGCTTCCTAAGAGTAAAAAAATTCCAGAAATAGGCAACCTGGAAATGGAGGTTACTTAAGGAAATGTGAGCTTAAGACAGAAAGGCCACCTGTTCAATGTGGCCACTCAAACATCTCCAAGCTGTGTTCAATCTGACTGTGCAGTTATTAAAGCACTGAAGAATTGAGACCACCTGCCCAACCTAGGCCACCTACCCAACCGAGGCCACCTACCCAACCGAGGCCACCTACCCAACCGAGGCCACCTGCCCAACCCAGGCCACCAGCCCAACAGAGGCCACCTACCCAACCGAGGCCACCTGCCCAACCCAGGCCTCCTACCAAACAGAGGCCACCTGGGTGTGGATGCTACCTAGAATTTGAAGTCATCTGGGTATGAAGACCACCTGGATTCTGCAGCTTCCGTGAAATTTAGGTAACCTGGATTTTGTAGCTACCTGGTCAAGGAAGCCAGCGAGAATCATGAAGATAACCTGGGATTTGAGCAACCTCAAGTTTGTGACCTTCATGACATTTGGGCCTCTGGTGTACTTTAATTCTGAGTGCATCGAGCTCACAGAGACCACAAGGCCATCAGGGACTCATGGGATGACCAAAAGTGATGAATTGACTCTGTCATAATGTATCAGGGCAGCGCACACATGACAAAGTCAGTGCCAGGTCTGCGGGTTCAGATTTGGACTCAGAGCCCAACTTGTCATCTTGCATACAAGCATGCTAATGATGATGTCTTCTTTGAGCTATAGCACCCGAAGGTCATGCGCCTGATTGCGACATCCGCCAGCTTTATTGTATCTTATGTGTTCAGCCTGTCCATTTGGATTACCACTGTCTCCCTGGACTGTGAAAAAGTCCAGATGCCCACGTTCCTCATGTTCAGATGAGCGGTTTCAAACTCGGATCCTTCAGCACTCTTGGTGCACACGCAATTCTTCACCAGAAAAAAAAAGAGAGAGGAACCAAGTCCAACATCTGTCAAAACAAAACATGGCTCTGATGCCAACACAACCCTCCAATTAGGCAGACATGGTTAGCCGTCCCCTGGCGGCATCCTTACATGCTAGTACATCTTCTTTGTCCAGGCTAGCAAGTACAAACTACAAGGCAACACAAAAGAAAATCAATGATGTGGAAGATTTTCTGACTAGAAGTCCAGTATTTTCATCACTCTTCCACATAACACTTCAATTTAGTACATCTCCTCCCTCCCTCCTTAACCCTAACCCTCCTCAATCCTCCAACAGGTGAAGGATTGAGGAGGGTTAGGGTTAATGGGAGGGTAGAATCTTGAACCACTTTTTAAAGAAGTCCTAAAGAAGTTTTTTGGGATGATTTGGCAGAGAATGACCCACAGGGGAGAGAATCTGCAAGCCTATGTATTTTGGAGCTAATTAAAGAATGTTTTACTGGACAGGAAACGACTCTGGCCTTTTGGTCAAAGAGTGGAAACAGAGATTCCTATGAACAGAAATCTATCCAAACAAGTTAGCACCTGGCTTAACACAAGTCACGCCTATCAGTCATCATACAGTTGTGCCCTTCATTAACCATTTGCCGCCAGGGTTTCCGGTACCAGACACGTATTCTTTATACGCATGGCTGGGGTCTCCGAACTCGGATAGAGGGAACTGGGCTTTGTAACAAAAGACCGTACTTGTAACAAAAGACCTGGCTGCTGGGCATTAACGACATTTGCGCAAGCGGATTACCACTGGGGACAAAAGCCCTCCACCACCGCAGCGATGAGCCACACAGTACCGCTGCACGCTAATCTGGCCCCTATTGAAAAGAGATCAGCAGCGCACTGTTTCATTTTCATGAACAAAAGAAACTTACGTAACACTGCAAAATCGGGACTCTTTTTACAAGGTGGCAAAGCCTGGCTAAAATACTCCAGCGTCAATAGATATTGTCTGTCAGATTGGAGTGGAAACCAGACAGTCCTTCTTGTGGGTGTAAGTGTCCAGTAGATGAAGATAGGAATTTTTAAAGAATTTTGAAAAAAATTATAATTATTCCGTCCCAGCATCATCAACATTGATAGCTGCCACCGGCGCAAAGTGGTTAATGGGGAATCTGGCATTTTAAAGTGACAGGTGAGTAAATGTTACAACAGCACCAAACTGCTCTCCAACTGGCCACTGACCCCTTGATCTAGTGTCCTACTCAAGGCCGCTGTTTTTCCAGTTGGCTTGAGGCAGACTAAAATGTTCATGTCACACTTTTGCCTTACAGTATATGCTTAATCGCTGGTGCATGAGATTTCATCTCTGTCTCGCCCTTGTGAAAGGTCATATAACTGAAGTATAACTTATTACAAATATTACATGGGTCTGATTGACATGACACATGAAGCAATACATTTTTGATGCCCTTGGCATGATGCAATCAATTTTCTACAACCTTGATCATTTACTGCTCCTACCAATACAGCATGAGTGTGTTTTTGACACCCACACCAACTGATTTCAATTGACTTTTTTCCCAATACTCCCTTTCAAAGGAAATAGGCATCTTGATTAGTACTCTGTGAAGAGGCCGTCACTAATTTCCCTCCCCCCAATTAAACAGTAACAAATACGTGAAGCAGCTGAACCTGCAACTCCAAAAACACTGAATCAACATTCCTACTTATTAATTTGTTTAATCTGCCCTGAATCGATCATTTTGTCAAGTCGTTGGTTCTGGAATTGTCAGCAAGGGCTAAGCATATTTCTTTGGCAACTTTGGGCGGTGTTTATGACCCTTGTGGTAATCCACCCTTTGAGGACCTTACTCCAGTTGAAAATTATCAGCTTGGGAAATCTTCCGGTGAAGCACCTTAGCCCTGCAGAAAAATCTGGTCCTGACGGCTTAGGTTTCAGCTGCAGTCATTGCAGCGAGCTGTCTGACTCCAACGTTTACAACTTGTCACCATAATTATGACATCCTGGCCAGTAACAGAGGGTGCTAGACAACGGGATTAATGGACAACTCAATAGCGACAAGACCGGAAATGATTTCGCTACGGCCGGGCACCTTTTTTTACTGATGAGAACCGAGTACCTACTACTGAGCATGAAGGAACTTTTTCACACCCTCTCTAAATCTAGGGATTTGCTACTCGTCTCACGCTATGACTGTTACTCATGCCTAATGCGTTTCAATCATAATGTTTACCACCTGACTACATCAGGAGAAATCCAGAGTTGGAAAATAGATAAAAAAAATCCTGCTCTCAATTTGAAAATTCTTCATTAAGAATGGTGCTCCCGTTTGCACCATGCAAATGATACCCTGGAGTCCAACAGCTTCAACACAGCAAACAATTGGACTGAGAACAAGTAGATATTCGGTGCTTGATCTGCCTTGCCCTTTGCATCTGCATCACAAAATGAAGCCTCTCTCAATGCCATGCACCAGCTTTGCAGACAATGCTGCTCATGAACCAGTCACAGACAACATGTAATACATAACTGGTAACCTCTATTTGCTAAGCATTTAAAGCAGATTGCTACCCATTTTTGGTTTTTTTTTTCAGGTAGGTCTATGACCATATCCAAAATGGACTTCAGAGCTATGGCTACTTCTACAGTCTGCATGTGTCCACGCATATTTCCAATGGAACAAAGACTTAGATCTAGCTCTAGGTGACAAGATTTGGATACACAGTCTATGACTACCTTGTTGTCCAGGGAAGCTATCTCTTGCTGACTTGCTGTGGACAGCAGGAATGACTTCATGAGTTCTTTGAGGGTGTCGTCCTGTGAAAAATGAAAAAAGGGTTCAGTTATAAGATTACAAGAGCAAGGAATTTAGTGACAGAGTAATACAGATAATTTTGGGTTAGTAAAAATCTGATTACCAGCCAAAGTGACATGCATGGGACTGGTTCTCCGTAGATTTTTGCTCAGCGCATATCTTTGCTAAGTGATAAGTTTTACTCCATGGTATTGGGGCTGGATTAGTTACCAATGGCTCTACGGATAATCTGGCCCTCTGCTTGTAAACATGGATCAAGTATGGTCAGCGACAGTCAACCATTGGTTGATTTTATCTGGTACCCAGGTTATATTTTGTGCCCAGATTACCAGGGAGAATGGACCAGTTGTTGATAAATGGTCGCTGATCAAACTGAATGGGGCCTCCAGCTAAATCTTTTATCGAGTGCCTCTTTAAGCATATGATGCAAAGAGTACAGAACCCAATGAAAAATATGTCCTTTCACATTTTAAGATATCCAACGTGGGCCAGACAACCATCTCTCAGTATTTCAGACAACTGTGTTTAAGATTCAATTATGAAATTACTCTCTTAATCAGCAGGTGCATCATCACAGAGGGACTATATGATGATTCGCTTTGCCTTCAGCGCTGGTTGGAGCAAGAATATCAAGGCAAAACTGTGAAAGCTAATGAGGCAAAACTGACACAAATTGATGAGGCCATGAGCGTCGGGAAGGTCTCTAACTGGGGTGAGAATTCTGGGCCAAGAGAGATGAAATTTATGCAACTGACTGTATTGGCAAAACACATGTGCTTAGTCGTCAGTTAATTATTCGTATTTACTCTCATTTTTTTTTCCATGTTGGAATTTTATTTCAAATTCATTGAATGAAATGTGAAAATAAAATGCAATTATGTGAACAGGAAAAGTGAATGGACGAATGAAATGTGCAAAAAAACGTTCAGTTTGTTCCGGTCTCATTCTACCTCTGCCAGTCACAGTTCCTCCAACTTTGACAAAAACATCAATGCCCCAAAGTCGCATCAATTGACAAATCGTTACAGATTCAATGCTTCCGCCATCCTCTCAGATGCGCCACAAATGTGCAAACACACAAGGGGAATAGAAAAGAAGAAAAAAAAAAGAAAAAAAAGAAAGAAGTTATATTGGCTAGACCATTTGGCATTGTCATCAATATTTGACTCAAGAACCGCAAACACCCACACAGGGGACCGGGCCACGTATTTATAAAACCCTAAAATTGTTTTTCTGGAAGATAGCCGAGTTTTAACTGGATGACAGGCCAAGCATGTCTGCATAGACTCTGGGACGGCCGTCGGACGGCACTAATATTGGACACGATAGCACATGGAGTGAACAGAGCATGAAACTTTCACCACAGCAAGGAATCACAGAGATACAGGCTGATGTGAGGTTACACCATTTCATGTAATACAAGACATAATGTATCAGATTGTCTTTGTCAATCACGCACGCTTCCCCATAAAATCCATGACTCTCCCCTAAAAGAAAGGCACTCTTTTCTTTTTTTCCACAACTGACCGCTGTCAGAAGCCCGGATAAGATACCACTGTAGCCGAACTCCATGAATTTATACAGTTATCATGCCTATCCAGTAACTTTTCCAACATATTCCATGACAGGATGTTTAACATGCTTTTTGAATTTATTTTTTTTACAAAAATGAAGGTATACCAATGTTTGGTATGCAAAGCATTCCAGATAAATAACTTTTCAATGTTATTGCTGATGACTTGTTGGAAGTGGGAAGTATTTTCACCAGGCTACTTCAGATAAAATACCACAGGGAAATTATTTTTGATTAACTAGAGACCCTCCTCAAAAAAGGACATCAAATCAAAGACTAACAGTGAAATAATTTCCAACATTCTTTGGTGTCAATTTGATATAACAAAAAAAAAGAAACTTCTTGTTTTTTAAAAAAATTTATCAAGAAAATCATCCCCATTTTTCAAACGTTATTTTGATTATCCTAGAGTGGGATATCTATTTCAACTTGTTTGAGTGCATCATTTGCTTACGTTAAGGAGGCACTTCATAACTTTGCTTCTGAGACACACGGAGGGCAAAAACACTACCAGAATAATATACAAAAAATTCCTGCAACACCACAGTATGTTTTAATGTCTCCCTGAATGTCTTCAGTTTAGGGACATATTGAACCCAAGGTGGCGCTTTTACACCAGCAATTACTGGCAGAAATAAACCAGCTTTGAAATCAACTTTGCACCGGGGATCTTGGGGGGGGAGGTGTCAGCAAAATAAAAGGGAGTTGTAGGTATTCGGGAAGGCAATAGATAGTGCGAGTCGAGGGTGGAGCTAGACAGGGAAAGGTGGAAAGGGAGTTGCTGGTGAGACACAAGGCCAAAAAATGCCTGAAGCAATGACGTTCTCCAAAGAGGAATTGTTCCACATATTTTTAAAAGTTGAACTGGGAACAGAGAAATGTCAAGACAGATGAGCAAACCTCTCTGAGCGTATGTAAGAGATCTCTACAAGTCAACTTGAATAAATTCTGTTTGATTTGCTTGACTTGGAGTTCCAAGTCAACCCATCTTGCGTCATAAATTCTTGAAAACTACAAATGTGGGGGAGGGTGTAAAGATTTTAGCGTGGGAGTGTGACCAGCTAAGCTTGTCCGAGTGCACAGGAAATGAAGGCTGAAGCATCTCCCCCGATCCACTGAGGCAGGTGACTTCAGTTCAAGTGCTCGCCGCCGAGGGCTTTGACTCCATAAGTGATCTTTTTTTTCTTTGAATCCAGTGACTTGGCGGACGTCACTTACGTGGGAAGGTCGTTTATGGGCGAGCGATGCTGGATGGAGACTAGACACAGGATAATTGAGGGAGAAGTGTCACAGAAAACACAGGAAAAGAGTGATGGATTCTATTTGTCTTGAAAAATGGGTTTCAAAGGATGGGATAGAGAGAGAGAGGATACTGGAGACATCTGGAAGATTCGTTGACTGAGGCCTTGACATCATTCAAGTTGCTTAGTGAACCGAAACTGCAGCCTTGCCAGTTGGCTAAGAGGCAGCTAAACACAGTGAAGCAGCTACATAAAAAGGCTTTGACACTTAGCACAAGTTTTCTGCTTAGCCATTATTGCTGCTTAGCCAACATAATACGATAGTGGCAAACTTTTTTTGACAGCTGCCATCACAATCAAGGCTTTATTTATTCTGAGAAATGCATTGAATGACCTTGTTTTGCATCATCTTTCAGTACGGCCCATGGGCGTCACCAGGATTTTTATGGGGGGAGGGGCAATGGCAAAGCACTCATAAGCAACCAATGGATAAACCACTACAAGGGGAAGGGGTCAACTTGGACATTTGTTCAACCAGATTGGTGACCTCAATGACCTTTCACCTTAAAAAATAAGGTTTTAAAGGGGGTGGGGGAGGGGGACAGACATCCCCTTACCCCTCCTGATGCCCATGGTATGGCCTTGACAGTGATGCTGTATTATTGGGTATGTTGGATTTTTGAATTCTGCATATCAAAACATGCAGTCGGGTAGTTTCTAGCCATGAAATTGCATGCTGCAAAATATTTTCCTGTGACAGTTTTGGAGGAGGACTTTCACTATGAGGTTTGAATGAATATAAACCATTTAAGTGAAATTCAATACGGGCAATTCACAATAGTGCGCCACCAAGAGTTTGCAACACGTTGGCCAATTAGAACGCACAAAATTTATCAACCCTTTCCACACGCGCATTGGGTCGACAAATTTTGCGCATTGTGATTGGCCAATGAGTTGCAAACTCTTGGTAGCGCACTATCGTGAAACGGCCATATTCATCAACTACAAGAGCTCTGGGTCATTTGTCTTTGTGTATGTGTAGTGTAGATGGTTTATATCCATTTTGATGTTCAATATTTTTTATTGATCATTTAATGTAAATTTTGTGTATTTTAGTAATTGGAAACTAAACCTTATTTCATATATCCTTTGCTGGCACCAGAGTTTCCAGAAGGCATTTGACCAAGTGGCCACTGCCCTTCAAAAACAATGGGATTCCTTAAACCCCTTCACGACAATCAACAATCTTGTTCTACATAGCTGGAGGGTTAACATGCCAGGTGATTCTAAAACTATCATCTTCGCACCTCCGCCCCCTTTCCTGTATGTGATGAACGCACCGTCAATCCCCCCCCCAGGTTTAGAAACCTGATGAGCCAGTGACGTGCATTCCCACCTGCCACCTTAAGATCAATTCCAGTGGTTCGAGATGAATGGACACAGGGCGCCAGTTGGTCTGGCTTGGCACTGCTGACACACCTGCCATCGGGTTTAACTGATTTCCAGATGAGGGGGGTGGAGGGAAGGAGGGGACAGTTGGTGGTGAGAGAGTGTGGGGTAAGGGTCATGGATGCAATTAAGTCTGGAGCTGAAGAAGTGGAGTATGTGTCCTTGATTGGACAGGGTGAAACTGAGAGGGGGTGTGGGTTAAGGGGGCGGTCCAACAATAGCCACTAATTAGCCACTCAGTCGGAAGGGAATGTAAAAGAAAAGGTACTGGGGAAGCATGAAGGTAAGACAAAAACCTGGGATATCTTGGGTGCAGGATGT